GAGGGAGCCGGGCAGAAAGCGGAGAGCGTCCTGGCAGTTCAGTTGGTTGGAGTGTCCCTGATACCCCGAGGTTGGGGGTTCCATCCCCGGTCAGGGCACATACAAGAAACCACCAACAACAGATCGATGTTTCTCTCTCCCTTAACCTTCCTGTCTGTAAAAGCAATCAATAATTTTTTTAAAAAGGTAAATGGAGAAAGCAGTCTTTAAGAAGAGTCGGGTAGCCCTAACCGGTTTGGCTTAGTGGATAGAGCAGAGGCCTGCGGACTGAAGGGTCCCGGTTCAATTCTGGTCCAGGTCATATGCCCGGAATGCCCAGTAGGGGGCATGCAGGAGGCAGCCAGTCAGTGATTCTCTCTCATCATTGATGTTTCTATTTCTCTCTCCCTCTCCCTTCCTCTCTGAAACCAATAAAAATATATTAAAAAGAAGAGTTCTCTCTCATTGATGTTTCTATCTCTCTCTTCCTCTCTGAAATCAATAAAAAATATTTTTTTTAAAAAAAGAAGAGTTGGGTAGCCCAGCGTCCTATGAACCAGGAGGACATGGTTTGTTTCCCCTTCAGGGCACATGCCCGGGTTGCAGGCTCAATCTCCAATATGAGGCAGGAGGCAGATGATCAGTGGTTATCTCTCATTGATTTCCTATCTCTCCTCCCTTTCTGAAGTTAATAAAAATATTTTTTTAAAAAAAGAAGAGTTGGGTGGTGTGGGATGAGAAACAGACCAAGAAACAAATCATGGACAGAGGAAGGCAAGGGCCAGAACCTGAGGCCCATGGGTTCCCTTCCACTCTTGGGGCCAGGAAGGGGAGTCACAAGCCCTCCCCCACCCAATTCCCGGAAAAAGAGCTTCAGAGTGCAGCATGGAGGAGGGCAAACTCCAGGCCTGTTGCACAAGTCAGGCCCAAACACTCTCCTGCCCGGTAACTGGGCCCCTGCGTGGATTTCGGGGAAAGAGGCATGGAGGATAGGGTCACACTCAAACACCTCCACAGATCCCACAGATCGGAACAAAGATCCTTCACACCCCAAACCAGTGACTCCCCAGGCCCCCCAGCATGAGATGCTCTTTTAAGCCCTTTGTGTATGTTTGCATGTTTAAATTTGTTTGTCTTTCTCCGTGGGTATTTCTGTGCCTCTGTCCACTCCCCCTGTTCTGTTTTGTCCTCTGTAAGCCACTCCACCCCCAAGCCACTGGCCATACCCTTTGCCACCACAGCACACTGCACACAGAGGTTTCCATGGTAACACTTCAGACTTTAATACATTTTACTAGGGGTGACAGAAGGTGAGTAGGGCATCTGGTTACTTGGATGGGAGAAAGCAGGGGCCCCAGGACCCCAGATCCAGTGCCCATCTCCCTAGAGTCTGGAGGCAGCTGCCCTAAGCTCAGGGCCAGAAGGAGGCGTTACCTACCCAGGCCCCCTCCTCTGAGTCCAACAGGCCCACTTGGGCTCACAGGGTCAGCTGGGAGAAGATGGGGTTACCTGGACCCCAGGAGCCTCCCCAAGCTCTTGCACTCTCCTCACCTCCTGTCAGGGAGCAGCGTCTCCCCGCACTCAGCCCCAAGGGAAGTCCAATGGCTCTATTATCAGGGGACCCGAGGGAGAGTCGGCGGGGTGAGAGGCCCAGTGGCCTAGGCCAGGGAGGAGAGGCAGTTGGAGAAGGCAGAGGTGTCTCGTCAATGAAGGTGGTGATCTCCTCCCGGAAGAAGCCAGGCCCCTGTGGGTGTCCCCCACCTGACCCCAGAATGCCACCCTCCAGGAATTGTCGAAGGCTGGCTAGCCCTCCACCTTCAGCCTCCTCCTCCTCCTCATCCTCTAGCCTTTGTCTGTGTCCCAGGTACGCAGGAGGGCCTCCCAGAGCCTGGCTGTGCGCTGGGAGAATCCGGATGTCATCAGAGGATGACCACTTGTGCAGGAAGGACCCTGGTGCCCGAGGAGTAGAGAAGATATTGGTCTCGTCGTGGGACAGACGGCGGGACAGAGGGACCTGGGGAAAGGAGCAAGTAGACCCAGAGGTGCTGAAGGGGCCAAAGTGGGGACTCTGCAAGATGGTTCTACCCCCGCCCCCCGGCCCCCTTAAACTGAAAACATCCTCTGATGGGCAAACCTGGTTCTGAGAGGTCTGAAGGGGGCTTCTCTTGCCATACCTTTCTTTCCCCTACTCTTTATGTGCCCTGCAGACCAGGGCTAGGGAATGGGGGTTTGGGGGTGAATAACAGAGACTGGAGAAAAGTAATTAGGGGACACCCAGAATAGGAGGTACATTCCCTAGTCCCATACCTGTAAGTAGTGGACCCTCTCAAGAGGGGGAAAGAGCATGTGCCTCCCAGGCAGCAACTTCACCTGGGTGGGGTCCCCTGGTCCTGTGGCCCCATTAGCATCAAATCGAACTTTGCACACTCGGCCATCTGCGTAGTCATCACAGCCCCCATCTAGGAAAGAAAAGGGGCAGAGTGGTTACAGGCAAGGCATGCCCACCACTCCCCGCCCCTCCCCCCTTTAAAATCTCCCACCCCCCTTTGTAAGTTCCCGGAGAATCTTTCTGTTCCCACTACTCTGTAAGCTCCAAGAGGAAAGTGAGATTGGGTTGTTGCTGAATGGTTCAGACTGTTTCAATGCTGAATCCCTAGTGCGTCAAACATATATACATGCTTATTGAAACAAGCGTACCCCCCACCCCAAAAGCTGTCCCTATAGCTGGGGTCCCTTTTAGGAAGCTCAGCCTCCCTTTAGTTCCACACCCTTCCTTTACGGTGGCTAGGACCCTGGACTGCTTCTCGGGCACTCTGCCCCGCGGAGGCACAGCTGGATAGTGTGGATTTCCAGAGGGGAACCGACGCCCCTTGGAGGCAGCCCTTAGTGCAAAACGAAGCGGTGGCTGTGGTCATGGCGTACGATTGGGGAAAGGGGAGCGTGGAGTCAGCCCAGGGGCAGCGCAGATTCCGTCCAGCAGGGGGCACTGCAGGCAGCCCGTCCCCGCACCGGGACGAACTGGTAGAAAGGGGCAGAAAAGGGAGCCGACGCCCAAGAAAAAAGCCCTGTCCCTCTTCTGACCGTCTTCGCCATCCTCCTCGGACATGATAGCCACGCACTGCTCCCACACCGTGCGCACGTCTGCGCGGTAGCGCTCGCAGGACCAGATGAAGGAGGGCAGCAGCAGCGTCTGTGCCATGGAGCACCACAGCACCGCCAGCACCATCCACGGGGGAGCCGAGTCCGACTTCAGCGAGAAGAAGCTCACCACCTGGTGGGAGGATGGGGAATGGCGCCGCGTCAGGGCCCAGAGCCCAGGGGGCCCACTTCACCCCAGATCCGATATCCTAGTGCAGCTGGTGGGAAAGAAGTCAGGAAGGGATGGCCGGGGTCACACCGGATCGTGAACAGGAGCCAAGTTGGAGGTGGAGATAGAATGAATAGAGGGGAAGGGATTGACTCGGAGGAAGGTCAGGGGAGAGTTCCAGAGCAAAGCCCTGGGCCCAGAGGGAGAGGAGCA